CCCTCCCCCCTACTGATCCCCTTCCCCCCCACCCTAGGGCTCTCTCCCCACAGGGGACCTGGCCACCCTGAAGACCCGCGTGTTCACCCAGAAGGAGGGTGTCCACTTCAAGGTGGGTGCCGCCCGGGGGTCACCGCGCCCACTTGCCGTTGCCTTCTGCAGGCCCTCTGGTCCTCTAGGTCCACAGGGAGATGGTCAGCAGCCTCAGGTGTCTGCACCACACCTACAGGGCCGCTGTGAGGGGAGCGGGGAGGGGGGGACAGGGAGGGGGTGGGGAGGCTTGGGGAGGGCGGGGGGGGTGGCCGAGGCGGGCCAGCAGGCAGAGGTGGAGAGCGTGGCTTCGGTGCCACAGTGGGCCACACCAGCCCCTGACATCCCCCCTCCCACAGTGGACAAGGCCATCCACATGGTGGGCAGCTGTGGCCCCAGGGCCCTGGAGTGCCAGTTCATGATGCCGGTGGAGGAGGTACGGCGGGCCCACTGGTGCGGGGCCCCTACGTGGTCAGGTCCCTCATCACGGACGGCGACAGGACCGACCGCAGGTCCTGAGAGTGGCGCCTCCAGGTCGCAGGGACTGGAAGGACTGAGCCGGCCTGGGGCTCCCACTAATGCTGCACAAGGACCTCCTGGCCCCCCGCCCAGGGCCCAGACTACCATGGCCTCCGCTCTGTCTGCCCCCCCCGTCTGGCACCCTGCCCTGTGTTGCCTCTTTCTGCCTTTTCCTACCCGTGGCTTTATCTTCCTCGAGACCTAGCCAGGTGCCACGTGGCAGCTGCTGTTTGGTCCCCAGTCTCCTTATCTACTCTAGCCTTCGGGGCCCAGCGCCGCCATGGACACCCAGCGCCTGCCCGTGCTGCTGCTGCTGCTCCTGCTGGGGGCCTCGGTCCCCCACCCCTCCAGGGGTCTCCCTGAGGAGGACATTCCCAAGGAGGACGGGGTCTTGGTTCTGAGCCACCACACCCTGAGTGTGGCCCTGCGGGAGCACCCGGCCCTGCTGGTGGAATTCTGTAAGTGCTTGGGCCACAGGTTTGAGTGCCGGAAGGCTCAGACTCCTGCAGCCTGGACCCCGGGACTGTCCTTGCAATCTGTGTCCTCTCGACCCGAGGCTTCCTGGGAGGGTCCTGGACGGGGAGGCCTGGCGTTGAGTATGGCCCGGAGTCAGGGGCTGCTTCAGCCTGAGTGGACACAGATGGTGATAATGCAGGAGGCACCCAGAGGACATAACCCACACACCCTGGCCCTGCTAGCTATGGCTAGACACCGATGTCCCCACCTCAGAGACACTTCTCCAAGTGGCTAGTGACGTCCTTCAGGGTACAGGCTGTGGTCGCTGTGGCATGCACTTCTGTGGCTCTTTAAAGCCACTGTGAGCCTCAGCCACATGTCCTCTGGAACCCTGGATCGAGGCTCTTGTCAAATCTCCCAAACCTTACCGTGCTCCTGGGATTTTTTTTTCTGTATTATTTTTTGTCAGTCCTGGGATTTGAATTCAGGGCCTGGGCTCTGTCCCTGAGCTCTTTTGCTCAAGGCTAGTGCTCTACCACTTTAAGCCACAGCTCCACTTCCAGTTCTTGAGTGGTTCATTGGAGATAAGAGTCTCAGGAGGAACTTTGCTGCTGCTCAGGCTGGCTTTGGGCAGCAATCCTCAGATCCCACCTTCCTGAGTAGCTAAAATGACAGGCATGACCACCAGCACCTGGCCAGCCTGGGATGTTTGAGAACCTCTTCTATGTGGCACTGGTGGAGGCCTAGGAGGAGGGTATGAAGAGAACTCCCTTTCTCCCACTGGATATGATAGGAGGGGCCTGGCGTGGTGGGACCCGGGAGGCCTGGTGAGCTCCTGGCCTTGTTCCCCAGACGCTCCGTGGTGTGGTCACTGCCAGGCACTGGCCCCTGAGTACAGCAGGGCAGCTGCTCTGCTGGCAGCTGAGTCAGCCCCGGCCACATTGGCCAAGGTGGATGGGCCTGCGGAGCCAGAACTAACCAAGGAGTTTGGTGTGACGGAGTACCCAACGCTCAAATTCTTCCATGACGGGAACCGCACGCACCCTGAGGAGTATACAGGTGTGGGACAAGCATGGGGCAGGGGCAGTCGGGGGCGGGGGGGGGGCAGGGGCTGGCGCTGGACCCGTGGGACTCCCCACAGGGCCCAGAGAGGCTGAGAGCATGGCCGAGTGGCTGCGACGCCGGGTGGGGCCCAGCGCCACTCTCCTGGAGGATGCAGAGGGTGCCCAAGCACTGAGGGACGCCCGGGATGTGGTTGTGATCGGCTTTTTCCAGGTACGCTGGGTGTGGGGCCCCTGTGGGAGCGGGTGTGGAGGTGCCTGCCAGCCTCACGGCTGGCCCTCAGGACCTGCAGGACGAGGATGTGCCCACCTTCTTGGCCCTGGCCCGGGATGCCCTGGACATGACCTTCGGCCTCACGGACCAGCCAAAGCTTTTTGAGAAGTTTGGCCTCACCAAGGACACTGTGGTCCTCTTCAAGAAGGTGGGTGGGGACCAAGGTGGGCGTGGGGCCAGAGCTGTGGCTCCCACTGACACCCCTGGCGTCCAGTTCGACGAGGGAAGGGCCGACTTCCCGGTAGACGAGGAGCTTGGCCTGGACCTGGGGGACCTGTCCCGCTTCCTGGTCACACACAGCATGCGCCTGGTCACAGAGTTCAACCGCCAGGTGAGGCTGCAGGTACCTGCGTGCCAGGGGGCGGGGGCAGGGACGTGGCCTGCGAAGTCACGAGCCCCCCAATCCTGCAGACGTCTCCCAAGATCTTCGCTGCCAGGATCCTCAACCATCTGCTGCTGTTTGTGAACCAAACGCTGGCTCCGCACCGGGAGCTCCTGGCAGGCTTTGGGGAGGCGGCTGCTGGCTTCCGGGGGCAGGTACTGTGGAGCTGGGGGGCGGGGGGAGGGGCAGAGCGGCAGAGCGCCAGCCTGGGTTCCCGCCGCAGGTGCTCTTCGTGGTGGTGGACGTGGCGGCAGACAATGACCACGTGCTGCAGTACTTTGGCCTCCAGGCTGAGGCAGCCCCCTCTCTGCGCTTGGTCAACGTGGAGACTACCAAGAAGTACTCGTGGGCAGGCGGGGAGCCCATCACCTCGGCTTCCGTGGCTGCCTTCTGCCACGCCGTCCTCCATGGTGAAATCAAGGTGTGTGGGCCCAGGGTGGGGACAGGCTGGGGGGGGCTGGCCTGATGCTGAGGACCCTCAGCAAAGCCTGTTGCTCCCCTAGCCGTACCTCCTGAGCCAGGAGATACCTCCCGACTGGGACCAGCGGCCCGTCAAGACCCTGGTGGGCAAGAATTTTGAGCAGGTGGCTTTTGATGAGACCAAGAACGTGTTTGTCAAGTTCTGTGAGTGCTGAAGGTGGCAGGCAGAGGTGGGGTGGGGGGGAGGGCAGGAAGGGACCAGCCGGTCCAGCCCTGACACTTCCCCAGATGCCCCGTGGTGCAGACACTGCAGGGAAATGGCCCCAGCCTGGGAGGCACTGGCTGAGAAGTACAAGGACCGCGAAGACATCGTCATTGCGGAGCTGGACGCCACAGCCAACGAGCTGGAGGCCTTCACCGTGCACGGCTTCCCCACGCTCAAGTTCTTTCCTGCAGGGCCAGGCCAGAAGGTGGGGGTGGGCTGGGTGGCGGCCACTCCTCTGGGGCCTTTCCAGCATGGCCTGGGAGGATGGGGACAGGACCTGACGCTCTCCTGTCCCCCCGCCCCCCCACAGGTAATTGAATATACAAGTGCCAGGGACCTGGAGACCTTTTCCAAGTTCCTGGACAGAGGGGGTGAGCTGCCTGAGGAGGAGCCCATGGAGGAGCCTGCGGCCCCCCTCCCGGTGGGTACAGCGTCCTAGGTCCCCAGCCTCTGGATGGGCTCCTGGCAGGGCAGGGCTGGGGGCAGGGCCCTGAGCGGGACATCTGCCATCCTGTCTAGGAGCTACTGACCAACTCTACCATGGGGTCCAAGGAAGAGCTGTAGCCAGACCCTCCCACACCGGCTGGGCCTGGGGAGCAGTCGGCCTCTCTGGTGCCAGAGGGAGCTGTGTGCTGTGAATAAAAACTTAGTCCCACACTCTTTTGTGTGTTTCCTGAGCGAGGCCAGCTGCTGGTCTCTGTGGCTGGTCCTGGACCCTGCCGAGGCCCTACCTCAGCCTGTGGGGCCCTTCGGGCTGACTGTGGGCTCTTTGCTCCTGAGCCTGAGGTGAAGTTCAGACCCCGTGCTCTGCCCGTGGGAGGCCAGGATGGCCTTCTTCACCACTGGACTGGAGCAGGGCAATGCCCCCGACAGCCAAGCCCCAGCAACTGCAGACAGGCACACCCCACAGCCAAGGGAGGTTCAAAGACTTTTATTTCATAATTATCCAAGTACCTTTGAAAAGATAATTGTACAAGTCATTGCATGAAAAACGGGCTTGCGGCCGCCCCTGCCGGCCCTGGCCTGAGAAATGTACACTATTTACATGGGCCCTTACAGAGGAGGGGCCGGGCTGACCTGGCCAGCCAGTGGCTGGAGAGAGGCAGAGGAGGGCCCATGGCACCCTACCGCCAGATTCACACAGTGGCAGGCAGGATACAGCTGTGTGGAAGGCACTCCGTGACGTGTACAACTTACAGGCCCGGACCCGTCAGGTCTGTCAGTGTCCCAGAGGGAGAGGTGGACCTGGCACGCAGCCAAAGCGTGAGGCATCCGTGGGTGGGCCTTGGGCTCAGCAGCACGGGGCTGCCGGGGGTCACTGGGGTGGCTGCCCTGCCGGGGAGAAAGCTATAGTATTGCTATGGGGGTGAGCCCTCGTCAATGGCCAGAGAAGCCCAGAGGGACCCCAGCCCACCCACCCCGGAGGAGCAGGGTGGGGGTGGTACACCTTCCCCGGACACGACCCCGCGCTGTCCCCACACACAAGCTCCTGAGTGCGAGACGGTCACATGGCTCTGAGGGTGATGCACAGTGGTGGTGTGTCTGCGTCTGCAGCTGCTGCTCAGTCCACCTTCTCCACCTTGCCAATGATCTTCTCCTCAAAGATGGGCAGGATGGCTTCATCTTCCCGCACCTCCTCAAAGACCACCCCACAGTCAAACTCGTCACTCACTTTCTTGAAGTAGTATCTAGGGACAGAGCATGGCAAGTGGTGAGGGAGCCACTCAGAGGAGTGTGTGTGTGTGTGTGTGTGTGTGTGCGTGTGTGTGTGCGTGTGTGTGCGCGCGCGCACTCTCAGGGCAAGGTTCTGTCCCCGTTGGTGTAGTGACCACACACGAGATGACGCCAGGCCCGCCTTGGGGCTGCTGGCAAGGCTGCACACCCCGCGGGGTGTGTGGGGCAGCCTTGGGCTTCTGAGGGGCCCTGACTCAGCCACCTCAGCTTCCTTCCAACAGGCAGCAGAAGACTGAGGCCACGCTCATGGTCATGCTATTCACAGAAGAAACCACCCCAAATGAGCTCTGGCCCAGTTCAGCAGCCTCTGCAGAATCGCAGGGCACCTCCTGCTTTCCCACAGTGCCCCAGGAGTCCCGGGCCTATCATGAGTGGGGGAGGAGGAGTCAGGTAGAGCACCTGACTCTGCCAGCAGGGGACCACGGCGGGGCACGGCCAGCCAGGATGAAGTCAGCACATGCAGGTTATCGACCCGTTTGGGTCTATTTTCTTAGCTCTGAAATGGAGCCCAAGCCACCTGGAGGCTTGGGGCCTGCAGGGCCTGGGTTCTAAGGAAGCCTCTCTCCCACATGCCCAGCCGGCCTGGAGCGGCAGGCAACAGCTGGGTGGGGAGAAGTGGGTTAAGAGGTGGGTGGGACCGGGCAGACGGTGCTGGGGGCGGCCCCTCCTCTCACCTGTAGCTCCCCTTCTTGGTCAGCAGCTCCTTGAACTGGCCGAGGGTGACGGCACGGCCCCTCACGAGGGTCCGGTAGGGGATGGGCTCGCCGCAGAAGTAGTAGGCCACGACGATGCTGTCACAGGGCTGGGCACTGCCGCCGCCTGCCTTCCTCTGTGATTTCACCCTATGGCAGACAGTGGTAAACATGGGCTACGGTCAAGGTAAAGGGCACTTTCCCAGACCCCAGCTGCGACCAGAGGACAGGGCAGCGCCAGAGTGAGCTCTACTGAGGAACACGGTGTCCAAGGCCCCGCCACTCACCACTGTGTCTCTGAAGGCCAGTTACCAATCTGGTGCCCAGTGCCACGGGATGCTCGCTGGGAAGCCAGCTTGATGCCCCTGGAGGAGCCTTAGGTCTCGCTGATGAGGCAGCACCCCCCAGGGAGCTGGCTGCTCACGTGGCCGCGCCAGACACTGGGCTCACCACTCTAGTAGTCCAACTGTCTGCACTCTAGTAAAGTCTAACCTCCCAATGCTTTCAAACATCGGAAGGGTAGGGACTGGACAATGGAGTTGTGCACAGATCTACAAATTCAGTCCACAGGCTAGCTGGGTCTCTAGCATGGGCATGGAGCTAGAACTTGGGGTTCAACCTAAAGTGCAGCGTGGCTCTGAGTTAGGTGACGGGCAGTGTCTCTTCTGCTCTTCCCACGACCCTGGAACTACCCCAGGCTTGCAGGGGTCCAGCCTGTGGGCACCCTCTTGAGTCTAGATGGAGGAAGCTGTCCACTTCACACACTAGGCTCCCAGGCACTGGCTTGCTTGGACCATCCCTTGGAGGATCATGGAGGCTACCAATCTGGAAGCTATTTCTTCAGCAGACTGGGGCCACGTGAGAGCACACAATGTGCGGCTGGCTCGTGGTCAGAGCTTACAGACTCGGGGCTGGGTGAGCCTCGCAAAGCCTAAGGCCCCAGGGCATCCCATCCTCCTTAGAGCAGAAGCACAGGAAGGGAATGGTCAGCCATGGCCACGCCGCCCACATGGGGCCGCAGCAGCGGCAGGCAGACCTCACGACAGACCAGTGCACCTCAAGCTACTGGCACCACATCAAGAGGACTGTGCCTGAAGAGAGGCATTAATCAGGGGAAGATGGGGGTACTGATCAAGACGCCCTGTGCTCATAACCTGACCTGTGGAACTGAAACTCCTCTGCACAGCTACTTATTAAACAAATTAAGGCCAGGCGCTGGTGGCTCACACCTGTAATTCTAGCTACTCAGGAGGCTGAGATCTGAGGATCATTTCAAAGTCAGGAAAATCTGTGAGACCCTTATCTTCAATTAACCACCTAAAGACTGACTAAATAAAAAATTAGGAAGAGCAATACACCAGGGCCAATTCTGTGCAGGTTTGTGGACCTGTAAGTCTAGGATGGCTGGGAAGCACTTAGGGCAGAGGACCGATGAAGGACAGGCCTAGGGTCAGTTGGTCACCAGCTCTCCTGATGGAGAGGCCTTCCCCAGCCTCGGGGCTTCTACAGACACAGGCCGGGTGGTGGGACCGGAGAACCCTGGGTCACACGTACTCTGTCTCGGAGAGCTCCAAGTCGGACACGGCTGGCACCACGCTCAGCACCGGCGTGCACACTGGCCGGACACAGGCGCGTCCCCGCTCCATGACCGCCTGCACATACCTAGGGAACAACCCACGTCAGGGGGAGGAGGCCGTAGCCAGCACTGCTGGACACTGGGCAGCGGACAAGGAGAGCAGCAGCGAAAGAGCCCGCCCACGGGAGCTGCCACTGGTGGCAAGTAAGAGACACGGAGCACGTCATCACCAGCTCAGGGCCTGCCACGGACCACGTCACCACCCAGGTCAGGGCCTGCCACAGACCACGTCATCACCCAGGTCAGGGCCTGCCATGGACCACGTCACCACCCAGGTCAGGCCCTGCCACGGAGCACCTCATCACCAGGTCAGGGCCTGCCACGGACCACGTCATCACCCAGGTCAGGGCCTGCCACGGACCACGTCACCACCCAGGTCAGGGCCTGCCACGGAGCACCTCATCACCCAGGTCAGGGCCTGCCACGGAGCACCTCATCACCAGGTCAGGGCTCTGCCACGGAGCATGTCACCACCCAGGTCAGGGCCTGCCACGGAACATGTCATCACCCAGGTCAGGGCCTGCCACGGAACATGTCATCACCCAGGTCAGGGCCTGCCACGGACCACGTCATCACCAGGTCAGGGCCTGCCACAGACCACGTCATCACCCAGGTCAGGGCCTGCCACGGACCACCTCATCACCAGGTCAGGGCCTGCCACGGACCACGTCACCACCCAGGTCAGGGCCTGCCACGGAGCACATCATCACCAGGTCAGGGCCTGCCACGGACGTCACCACCCAGGTCAGGGCCTGCCACGGAGCACGTCATCACCAGGTCAGGCCCTGCCACGGACCACGTCATCACCCAGGTCAGGCCCTGCCACGGACCACGTCATCACCCAGGTCAGGCCCTGCCACGGACCACGCCATCACCAGGTCAGGGCCCTGCCACGGAGCACCTCATCACACAGGTCAGGGCCTGCCAGGGAGCACGTCATCACCAGGTCAGGGCCTGCCACGGACCACGTCACCACCCAGGTCAGGGCCTGCACGGACCACGTCATCACCCAGGTCAGGGCCTGCCACGGACCACGTCACCACCCAGGTCAGGGCCTGCCACGGACCACGTCACCACCCAGGTCAGGGCCTGCCACGGACCACGTCATCACCAGGTCAGGGCCTGCCACGGAGCATGTCATCACCCAGGTCAGGGCCTGCCACGGACCACGTCATCACCAGGTCAGGGCACCTACATTTACTCTCCGTGATCCCTGGAACACACTGAGGAGAACTGCTGACCTGGGGGCCGGGAGCTGCCTTTCTGTCCCCTGCTGACATCTCCGCACTGCAGAGCCTCCTGGAGAGACCCGTCTGCAACCACTCCCTGGGGAGGCTCTTCCTATGGGGCTCCAGGGTATCGCCTTCTGCAGGCCAGTGTGGACCCAGCGGTGGATGGTGGCAGTGCTCTGTGTGGACATCAGGGCCTGTTACCGTGACTGAGGCCTGTCTGCACGGATCCCACACCTGCATGTGTTACTCAGGGACACTGAACGGTGTCTACTGTGACTTGCCTGGGGGCCATCCCAGGAGCCTGTAGCTTCTGACCTCAGACAAGACAAACCAG